ACTGAGCTTCTCAGGCCCATACTTCCAGTGAAAATTGAGATTGCTGGACTGGGGGCCCGGAAGATCTGGCTTCTAGTCCCCACCTGGCCATGAAGCTCACTGAGTGATTTTCAGCCGGTCATTCCCTCTCAGTCTAGCCTACCTTACAGGGCTGTTGTGAGAATAAAATGAGTCTATCCAAGCTGCCTTGGATCCCTCATAAGAGGAAAAAAGGTGGGATAAAAGTGCATCCTCATCATCATCGCAGCAGCAGCTGCTGCTGCTCATATAAAAGCCTTCAGGATTGCTGCTGCTTTCCTACCACAGCCCAATTGGACCCTGTCAGTGCTGCTATGAGGAGTGTTGCCGGAGACAGCAAAGAATGCTGTTGCCATAGCAACAAAGCTCCTGGGCAAGGTACCAAACAGCAAGAGGAAATGAACGAAGGCTTAGCAAATTAGATCTCGAGGCCTGGGCTACCAGACTGCTTTATAATTCCAGGGGTACCCTGAGTGGGCAGATGGGTGGTTGCAGAAGTCTTCCTCCAAAAATGGACTTTTCAGCCCTCCCCTCTCATGCCATATTAGCAGGTAAGGCACACACCTTGTGGCTTCCAGAGCCGCTCAGCAGTACCAGAAGCAGGGCTTTCCAAACCGAGTTTGTAGTCATGAAATTAATGGTTGCACTTTCAGCCCAGCCAGAGCTGGGATGGTGCTTCCAGAGGAAGGCAAGGTGATCCTGCTAGGGTAAGAACTGCCCTCCAGGAACTATCAGACTTGGAGTGCAATTTTGCAAGCCTGTGACTGTTCTTTACGAAGTGGTGTCTTGGCGCTACCCACTTAGGTTCAATGCCAGAAAGCACATCAAAGTGTGTCCCCCGGATATTTGGATCAGTGCCCTGCTGGCCTACACTTACAAGGTGATCCGAGAGGACTGTTTTTCTCTGCAGCGAGCTGTGATTTTTCACTGCTGCTGTCCTTTATTTTTCTGGAGGGTGGAGAGCAGCCACTCAGCTCTAGCCAGGAGGTGGTGCCAGAGTTCTTCTCTCAGCAGATCCACATGGATTTGTGGCCACCTGCTTTCTTCCTTGTTGGCTGCAAAAGCCAAGTGGTTGGTTTGGTTTAGGGGGGAAATAGGCTGCCTTTAGTAACCATCTTCATCCAGGCTCCCGGACTGACTGCTGAGGAGCTAATTAATTGACCATCCCAGGCAACGTTAAACTGTTTGGTGCACTTTGCATGGCAAAGGAGCCCAGCTGGCCCAGGTGGTCAGAGATGTCTCCACCTCCAGCTCCTTCTGGTGCTTCTGGAATTAGAGGTTGCTAGCTGGACATGCTTCCTTTTGTTGCATGGGCTGGGATTAGAGAAGCCCTGTTTGAAGTGGCTGGGGTGCTGGATTGTGCCTCAGGCCCCCATACGAAGAGGGCTTGCTGCAGTCCTCACCCTCTGGAGATGCGGCCTCTGACACCCCTTCCTACTGCCCTGCAACAAACTCCTCGTATTCCATGATAATGGAACAGAGCAGGACACCTCCTCTTCCCCTCTGTGCATTCACGCACAACATCCTGGAAGGAAGGAGGACGAACTTCACTGGCTCCTTTTCCTGGTTTTTACTAGCATAAGGATTTGGGAATTCCCCCAGATTGAGCTCCTCCTGCCACAGAGATGGGACTCCTCCATTTTACGGTCCTAAGAGGTGAATAGGATTGCCTGGGTGACTCAAGATAGCATTCCTGAGCTGTGACTGTCAGTGTGAATGTAGCTGGGAAGCTGACCAGCTTAGAAACAAAAGGGCTGCAATGCTTGGAGAATGGAATCGACTGACAAACCCCTTTTGTCAGATTCTTTTAAAGTTCTGAAACATTGTATGAAGATTGTGAGTGGACAGGAAGGATCACCTTACAGGAGGCATTCCCACATCCTGCAGAAGGGGGTGTCGCTTCTGCCAAGGAAGAAGGGAGAGCTGGTCATCCATAAGGCATCACAGCAGCTCTGTCTATGGAAGGGGGAAGATATGGGCAATTCCCCGTGACTTGATGGCATGAGGAACACATTTAGATTCTGGGACAAGTAGGCTTCAAAGGCAGAATGGTGGTTGGGGTGGTAGCTGAAGTCAGACTGAACTTGGGGTATAAATGTGACGCGTTCATCATTGTTATTGTTGTCATCATCATCATCATCATTCGATTTCTTTTGATGAGGTGACCAACCTCTTCTCACCAACGTGCTGCCAGCAAATATGGAACTTCCAAACAGAGAGATCCTGGTGCTACCACCCACAAGGCACCGTACAACTCTTCTGCCTTTTTGTCCTTAATAGTAAGAAAGAACTGGGAGTGCATGAGATGGATATGAGCGGAAGTCATTGTGGTCTGGACTTCCCATAAAATTCCATGAATGAGGCAGGTTGTGAGCATCCGGCAGAACCTTGCCTGGAACCATCCATAATCTGCTAACTTCTAATCTCGAAAGATGCTTCCAGCCCCAGCCCTGTCCCTCCTACCCCTCCACGGCCAGTGAATGCTGAATACTGACCGTGAATTGAAGCATTGCCTTCTCCATTAGGACTCCAGTTCTCCCCTGCAAAGGACCCAGGGACCATGCACACACACAAACTACCATGAAAACATTGTTGCTGCGGCATCCCCGTGGATAAGTGTCAGTGTGTTTAAGCTTCGAGCAGAGGGAGAGTTGCTTTGTGCTTGGGTGGCTTGTCATGGTAATGGAACTCATTTTATACTGAGTTAGCACCTGCTAGGGAAAGTCAAAGGCAGAAGAAAAAGAGGAAGACCGAGTATGAGATGGATGAAGGAAGCCCCAGGCTTGAGTTTGCAAGAGCTGAGCAGGGTTGTCAAGGGCAGGTCATGTGAGAGGATGCCCGTTCATAGGGTTGCTCTAAATCGGAGATGACTTGACAGGACATAACTATAATAATATTTAAAAGTAATCCTCCACTACTCAGCCTGTTTTCCATAATTTTAAACATGGTTTGGCAAGTGTGCTAAAGTGTCTTGACTTCTTGAGTGGATAGCTAATTCTAAAGATGCTTTATATTCCCTTTTGTATCCTACACCAAGCAAAGGGTGGGAAATAACTTTTAAAAGACTGGCAAAGAACAAGGGCATGCTTGTATCTTGAGCACTAGATGCTGATTAGTACAGTTCTTGATTGGTATATGTAACACATGCTATAGAAGTTAGCAAAACTTTCAGTGGAATTTCTTTTAAATAATTATGGATTGTACCTTTATCCAACACAGACTTCAGGACAGTATGCCAACATTCAAAAGTTCAATACAATAAAAACTGCATAGTGAGCTTCAGAAGTCAGTGAGGGTGTTTGCTTTGCTTTGCTTTGCTTTGCTTTGCTTTGCTTTGCTTTGGTAGTTGCAACACAAGCATGCCTATGAAATACAAGGGTTATACTCAGCAAGTTTCTTTTAATGATCTTGTTGCATTGACTTGTGTTCTTTTTGGTGGCCTGGATTCCTTGAACTTTATCTTGATATACAGTCCCATGGAAAAGGATGGGGGTGAGAGGAATGTGGCCCTCCACGTTTTGAACCATATTATAAAACTGTCCATGGTCTGTGCAGATTCACACTGCAAGAGAGGAAATTGCTTGATGTGTATGCATTCCCTAAATTAAAAACGAACTCATCGTACATTTTTTTAAAAATGTCAGGAAAAGTGCCAGGGTAGAACTAGAGTTTCTTGCCTTCCAGGTACAGGAAATCTTTTGGTGTATAAGGGGAAAGATTCAGGTTTGATCTTTTATCTGCAGCTGATAGAGGTTCTGGAAAAAAATCTAGTAATTGTTTTGGTTAGGCCTCTTATGTTGTGCAAAAAAACAAAATACAAAAAAACTTTGCTCTGTGTTGCTCTTGTCCTGTGGACCCAAGACAACCTAATCCCACATCTCATATTGCTGCCTTTGTCATTCTAACAAATGTTGCTTGTTCTGCGAATTATCTGCTATACTTCATTTTATTCCATTGCTTTTACTTTTTTAGTTTTCTGCAGTTGTGTCTTTTTATTATTCACAACTAACTCATTAAGCCTTTTCACAAAAGCTAACTTGGCTCAATAAAGGATTAGGATCCATTGGCCACATTTTTAATTTTGTAATTAGAGCTCTTAATGCTTTATGGGAAGCGATGCCAGAAACCTAATGGCTGCAGTTGGAGCATCTCAGCCTTTTGTTCCAAAGTCGAAGCTTTGCTGTTGGCAAGGGAAGGGCTGTATCACTCAAATACTTTTTCATATTCTGCACTGTGAGGAAACTAATAGTCTGGTCACTTCGGCTTTTTTTCTTTTTTACAAGTTTGTGTATTTCGAAATAGAAATGACCCTCTGCCGCCTATGCACAGAGTATTCCCACAACAACAGATAATGCCATTCTGTTTGGTGTCATCGCCCACTTCATCACAAAACATTCACAGGACTAAAATCCCCAGGCAAATAATATTCCCTTACTCCAAGTCAACCACTGTATTAATTTTGTTGGATTGATTCATACAACTAGCCAAGCAGGGTTTATTCCAAAGAAAGTTTAAAAGAGGAAAATATCGGTGCAATTCATGCAGCGGCCTAAGCATCGGTAGAATGCTAAAGAATCAATATTTGTAGATTGTAACTGTGAGTGCTTGAGAGTTAGAGCTTTGTGGATTTCAGTATGAACTGACCGAATACACACACCCAACATTATCTGAATCAGTGTGTAGCTGTCGTCTGCATTCTGCACTTCCCGAAAGATCGGAGTGCCACACTCAATTCAAAGAACCCAAGAAGGGGATTTTTATTTCTGCATTTAGAAATGTGTATTTTGACAGAAAATGTGTTGTATTTAAATAGACGGGTTCATCGCTCTATAATTGTAAGCCTCCAAGCACAAACTTGTTTATATATTAGCACAGTCGTGGTAGGCACTTTAGACAATAATAAAGTTACACCTTCTTTTTCTTCTCTGTCTGCATTCATGAATCCCTCCCCTCACCCACCGCCCTTTTGTCTGCCCAACTAGGATGTGCCCACAAAACTAGTGGCAAAAGCTGTTCCCCTGCCTATGACGGTCCGGGGTCACTGGTTCCTGAGCCCAAGAACCGAGTACACAGTCGCTGTACAGACGGCATCGAAGCAAGTCGACGGGGATTACGTGGTGTCAGAATGGAGCGAAATCATAGAGTTTTGTACAGCAGGTGAGCTTTGAAGATGCAGCCCACAGAATAGAAGCCACTTAGATATGTCACATAGATTGAAATGATCTCCGTTTGCACCAAATGTTCTGGTTCATAAACGATGCCTTAATTCTTCAAGCACATCCTGGCCCCCCGCCTCTTTTTAGCATCACTTTTCATCTCCGTGCATGAGGGTGGAAAGCTGCACAGCCTCCTAATCTTCCCATTTCCCAAGGAACATTACTCTTTTTCAGGGAAGTGTGCCAAGATTGCTCTATTATTAATCCTAGCTTTCCTTTACTTACATACTTCCCCAGCTGTTCACTTAGCACTAACACACACTGAGTGAAATTCCAGAGATTGGTGACCCATTGTGTTATTGGGGTGTTAATGATTTTGAGAGGGAGCTCTAAATTGGACCTTGCATGCATCGGGGTCAATCCAAATCAAGGTAGTTGCTCGCCTGCTCTGTCTGTCTGTCTGTCCGTCTGTCTTTCAGGCTTTTCAAGACTTTCCATCTATTGGCATCTCAGGACAGTTTACAACAGAGCAGATGGTTTACAACAAACTTTACCCGTTGCAATCCATGTGGCTTGCTTTGGATCCAAACTAATATGTGTTGGTATATATACAGATGTGTGAATTTTGAGAAATCAGATGAAAAACCTCGTATCATGTAGAGCCCAAAAGGGCTGTGAGTCCCTTTTGACTCTTTGCTACCCCCTCCTCCTCAGTGTATTCTCAGTGCCAAACCAGGGTTTGTTGCTCTGTAATGTGTGAATCAGTTCCCTGTATAGTTCAGGGAATCGAGAGGCCAGAGATGCACCTTCTGCCTAGACCAAGGATTCCTCTGTACATTCTTTAGTAAAGAGCAAGATGTTGTTATGTTTTGGCAGCCTTCTCACTGTTACCAGCTCCAGAGTCCACTGACTCTGCCTGCCTCCAAAGAGAATACTTCACCATGCAGACTTCAGCAGCAGCAGCAGCGTTTTGCTTCTCACTAACAGAACATTTTGTATTCACAGATTATTCAAAGGTTCACTTAACACAGCTTTTGGAAAAAGCCGAGGTGATTGCAGGACGCATGCTTAAATTTTCAGTCTTTTATCGGAACCAGCACAAAGAATACTTTGACTACATCAGGTAAGACTACCAAGACCTTTCCGAGACAAGTGTCTCCACAGGGTCAACATGTCAGTCTCCATTTTATATGCGGCAAAAGAGCAATCTACATACGGACCTTTTGCAATATGCTCATTTAGCACCGACTCTCAATGAGTGGTATATGTAGGGATATTGGCTGATAACCAGCTTTTTCCTTTACAGATTCTATGGACTTGTAATCTGTCTTGTTCCTCGAAGCTCTGGCTGGATAAAAGTTTTGTAAAATTTATAAAATGAGGTCTCTAAACCAGAGAAGGGATGTTGACAGATGAAGTGGGGGTTCATATTTTGCCAACACTCGGATTCACTAAGGACAAATGGGACGTGCAGCAGACTGTTGCAATGCAGTGCCACACGACACTCTGATAAGCAAATTAGCAAACACTGGACTAGATGGAAAAACTACTCAGTGGATCAAAAATTGGCTGCTCAAGCAGACACAAAGAATGTTCACATGTGGGCCTACGAATACTGGCCCGGTGCTTCTTAGAGCTGCCATTTTTGCCTGCAAAACTATCGGAATGTCCTTCCTGAGTTTAGGATTGGAGAAAGTAACAAAATTGTATCATTCTTGTGAGTCGCGGTAGATGTGATGCTCTGCTCAACAGAGACAAACCCCAAGGTCCAGTGAGGGGGGTGCTTGTAAGAATTCGGATTCCTCTGTGCCCATTGGAGCCTGGGATTGTGAACCCCCCTTACCAGTGGGTGGAATTACGCTCACCATTCTCAGGGCTGCTGTCTCCACGGTCGGGACCGTACCTGCCTCACCGCCATTGGTCACCGATTTGCAGAATGGAAAGAGACTGAATCCTGTCCCTGCTTCCAAAATGATGATGAGCAGGTACTTCCTGCTGTCGGGGGCCATTGCAGCAGCCATTGTAAAGGGAGCAAAAGCCCACTCATTAGGAGGTAGATAAGGAGGGTTTTCAAAATGTTTCTTTTTAAACTCTATTTATTAAGAAAAGCACTTTTTAAACTCTATTAAGAATTTCAAAAACAGATTACATCACTTGTCTACATAGCCACCTTCCTTTGCAACGCATTTTCCCCAGCATAGTACCAATGTTTTAATGTCAACACACACACACACACACACACGTGCGCGCGTGCGTGTGTGTGTGCACACATGCACACATATATATAATATTAATAAAATATAAAAGTGTGGTTTTGGAAGACCCCTCGTAAGTCTGCCCATCAGCGTTCAGGATGCCCTCTGAAGTACACTTGCTTCCCTTGGGGTTTTTTGCCTGATTTCAAGATATCCAGCACCTCCTGCACAGAAATAAAATGCAACCTGTCACACAAGGACAAGGGCAGAGAGGCACACCAGAATTTGCACTCTGTATCCTTTCTCAGTTGCGCCTCCAGCTCATTCCTGCCATTTGCAATCCGGCAGGTGGATTAAACAGGCCTGCTTATGCATGCACATCCTAATAGGAAGTTTGCAGGGACCGTTTCTTCCGTTCTTCCTGCACACATTTAGCTTGTGCTATTGTGAGTAAAGCTGCTTGGTTCAGTGAGCTTTGCTGGCCACTGGATGTCGCTTTGCCACCATGTGAGAATGGTTTCCTGGTTTCCTTCCGGTTTAAGGACAGCATTTTTTTCAAATAATGTTCATCTCAGGTTCTGCAGTTTAGCTCACTGCAGTTGCTTAATCTTGGTTTGAAGCCCTTTCCTTCTCAGTTTTATTTTTGAAAATATAGAAAGGTGGGGATTTTGAGAGGTTAAACAACCCCTAAAGTTTTGGATGCAGGGAATCACCTCCAACTTGCGAAGTCAAATGTATTTGCAAACCTTTTATCGCAGCAGAATCAGCATACCTAGGAAGTGTGCACTGGACTGTAGCAGACACAGTAGAGGGAAGAAAAATGTGTCACTCATGAAGCCGCTCCACCCACCAGAGCATTTGTTAACTATTCTTGCGTTCTGTGGATTATTAATGCTACCGCTCTCAATGTGCAGCGAGGATGTGTGTGCTTCTTCATTTTGGCTCCTCTTGTACTGTCGTGTGCATGCATATGTGCAGATTTAGAGATTTACAATGTTTGTGGCAGGAGTGTATTTGAAAGAGAACGCGATTGAATTAATGGCACAGGTTTTGCTGAAACAGAGCTGAAATCCTGTGGGATGAATTGATGAGGAAAGGTAAGCTGTTGGCCAATTCTCGTCAAGGGAGAGAATGTGATTTTGTGTGGGTTACTTAGCATTTAACCATGAAATACTTAGGAGCCTAAGACAGTCCCTCTCTTGATAGAAGGTATCACAAAAGGTTTTATCCCACTAACTGGTCCAACAGTTAATGCCTGGATAGGTTCTGACACGTTTAACATGACACAGGGCATCTTCCACCATGATGTTTCAGCTGCACATTCTGTATTCAAAGGGTGACCTGGTTCACATGACATAACAAACCATAAGTAGTCATAGTTAGCTGGTTGTTGTCCAAACCCAGACCACTTCTGGCAGAATGGTTAGGCCTTTTCCAAACAAGTCACCCTGAGAATCCTCTTTTCACTGACACTTCTGACAAGCTGAAATAGGAAATTTGTATACTTCCCTATGCAAACTAGGCAAGTTTTGCCCTGCCTAAGTCACTGCTTAAAAAAAAAAAGTCAGCCTTCCCAATCACCTGGAGAATGACTGGTAGAATTGAGGACAGTGAGATCTATATGGAGATATGCAAAATTGTAAGTGTCTTTCAGCAAAAGGAGGGAGCAGCTCCCTCATTTCACAAGGAAAACTCTCAAGACTAGGCTTTCCCTTGGCAGCTCACATTTGACAGCTGTTAACTGAAGTCACCAATGAATGTTTGGAGCCTCTCTGGGCCAACATGCAGGACTAGTACCTGCTGTACTTTGATGGTAAGTCTCCTCCCCCTCCATCCACCCATGACACTGTCCAGGTGAGTTTTTCTTTTTTCAAACCTGTGAAAAGGTATACCTCTGGACTTGTACCAGTCCAACTAACAAAAGAAAATCATAAACTAATTCCAAAAAATGTGCACATTTGAGGGACATTAGCAGCAGGAGGAGACAAGGTTGTATGAGTTACGATGCCCTCTTGAATACTGGGTGGAGGGATGCAAGAGGAGGGGGAGAACCACTCATGGTATGCTCAGTCATCTCTGGGGTTCACCATGGGTGGTTCTGTGGCTTACTGCCAGGGTGTATTGCTGTGCAAACTCACCCAGTATCTCAAACTGGGAGATCTGCTATGCAAACTCATCCAGTATCTCAAAGGTTGTTCACTCCTGCTGCGTGGAACAGGACAGGCACTTTGTGGATTACTTCAGGTGTGTGTTCCCTCCAAGCTGTGCCTATTTGCCTTCCACTCGATGCTCTTATCTATTGCATTCCAGCTCCGTTTGGGATCCTGCCTAAGCCATGTCTTGCTTTCTGATTCCATTGTAAAATTTAACAAGATAAAAGTAATACATTACCCATCCTTCATTTCTAGAGAGCAGCATGGAAATGCTATGCAGCCTTCAGTCAAGGATAACAGTGGAAGCCATGGCTCTCCCATCAGTGGAAAGCTGGAGGGAATCTTCTTTAGCTGCAACACTGAATTCAACACCGGAAAACCCCCACAGGATTCCCCTTACGGAAGATACAGGTTTGATATTGCTGCAGAAAAACTGTTCAACCCAAATACTAACTTGTACTTTGGGGACTTCTACTGCATGTACACCGCCTACCACTACGTCATCCTCGTCCTCGCGCCCGCTGGGTCACCGGGGGACGAATTCTGTAAGCAGCGCCTCCCTCAGCTGAACTCGCAGGATAACAAATTTCTGACCTGCACTGAAGAAGATGGGGCCATGGTTTACCACCACGCACAGGATGTAATCTTGGAAGTGATTTACACTGACCCTGTGGATCTCTCCCTTGGCACAGTCGCAGAAATTACTGGTCATCAGCTAATGAGCTCATCGACCGCCAATGCTAAGAAAGATCCCAGCTGCAAGACGTGCAACATCAGCGTTGGACGTTAATTTCATGCCCTCCCTCTTCCTTAGGAGCCTTCTTCATTGCCTATTTCCATTGTCAGCTGTTCCCATCAGACGCATGCATAATGCCATTCTTACCAAAAGAAAACACCGATGATCAAAATTCTTCAATAGCATTCTCTGTGCAGTGCTACATATTACAGTTGCCGCAGGGCTGCCGCCAAAAATGACATCTTGTATCACATTTTTCCTTCCTCCCCAATGTTTTGGGATAGATGCACTTCCCCATGTTGCTGTCATGTTCTCCTCGCCATCATGACTTTCCCCACCCTTAATTAGCTGGTGGTTTTGGGAATCACAAGACATGATAGCATTACATTAAAGGTAGCTATTCCCAAACATTACAGGGGAGAGAGGAGGACAACTTAACATGAACATGATATTGGCAGTAGTCTTGTATCTAAGAGTAATATGTAGTTCTGCCAGTAGTATTTCTCCCCATCTTCCTTCCTTTCTGGTCCACCAGTGCTTTTCAACTGTTAGAAATCTTGGGTTTTTCTTTTTAGCAACCATTTATATATCTAGATGCTGCAATTGGTGTTAAATTTTCTTCTTTTTTCCCTCTCTTCATATTGCCAAATGTAACAAAACTATATAAACAAGCTTAGCAAAATAATAAAAACCCTACTGGCTTCTAAATGGTGTTTAAATATGTATTCATTTTAATCTACTGAACAACTTAACTGGGATATCGCCAAACAGCATGAAAGGGTGTAATTGCAGCATGATTTAACTCTCGCAGCCTAGAAAAATGTCAGCACTTCCAATGTGTTGTTTGACAGTGTTATTTATGTTATTTATATTAGCTAACAAACAAACAAAAAAAACTGTGTTTCAACATAATAAATAGAAAAATATTTTATTTGTACTGTTGTATAAAATACTATACAATCATATAGAATATATAGATTACATTTTAATAGCAACTGTATACATATGTCATGAAACCATTTTCCCTTATCAAAGATGTAGTTTGTAAACTTCAAATACTTGTGTATCTGTTCCTGTTGCTCTTACATGACTTTTAATTAAAACAGATTTATGAAGGAGACCATTCTGATTCAGTTATAAATGATCAAGCCAATTACACCGAAACATCAAAATTCATGAGCTGCCCCCCCCCTGCAAAATCTAAAGGTTAGTAGTGTGACATAATCCCCTCCCCTTTTCCTTTGAAAAGCTTTTTCCCTTTAAAAAATAATAATAATAATCATGCTTCGACTTTACATACAGCAGAAATACAAAGGGGGTTGCAGCATTGCAGATATCCTAAAACAAATTGCGTCTGTATAACTAGAGCAAGAGTGAGGCATGACCCTTGACCTTTTGCATGCCGCTCCGTGCCACCAAGGGGACCCTGGTGGCCCTTCTGGCGAAACCGCCTCCTGTTGGGTCCTGACTGTGCTGCCACTGAGTCAGTGCCATTGCCAGTCACCCCAGCTATGCAATGGTGGATGGGTCTCTGCCACGCACTGCTTCGCCTGACGGGACTCCCCTTCACAAATGCAGCAGAGGGTTCCGCTCCTGCTTTTCATGTCATCGACAGAAAATGGCAGAACAAAAACATGAACGACAGTACGCTTCTCCCGGAGTGCTTCCTTGAACTTGTTCGCCATTACACTTGGGTTAGCCGGTGAGCAACACGAGCAATCTCTCACGGAATTCACTCTCCGCTCACAAGTGTTCTACTGTAAATTTGTTTATTTACTTAAATAAATAAATTTGCAATCTATTTACGTAAGTTGTGAGAAGATCCATTCTCAGTTATAAAGCATGTTGCTTTTTAACATCAGGATGGAAAAAGCGTATTCATCGTCTCCTTACCTTACAGTAAACCAAACCTCCCCACCCAGCTTTCTTCAGTTCATAACCATGACACTTAGATTAAATATTTTGCATACACTGATCTATCCAAAATATCATAATGCAATAAAGTAGTATCACTATGTTAATAAACTATCTTGGCAATCATCACACAGAAAATAGCAAGGTCCGGCAAAGTGCATGCTTTCAAACAAGCTTTGGTAGTCTGAAAAAGCAAACGTTTATAGCATCGGGCTAAGGAAAAGTGCTACAGAAATAACAGCAGGCATGTGCCACAATTACTTTTGCGCCACTCTGGTTTTTTTGGGTTCCCATCCTCCGTGAGCTGGCTGTTTCAAAGGACAAAACAGCTTTGCATTAGTTCACTAGCTACTCTCTTCTGCTTAATTCTCTACCCTAGTAGGCCAGATTTAGGGTCCTCCCAGATGAAGGCACTGCATATATTCCATCATTTTCCTTAATGGGTTTTTTGTTTGTTTAAAGAGTAAAATATGCAAGGAAAGAGGGTTAGAACCAGAAGATAAATCTCTTAACTCCCTACAAAATTCTATGAATAAGACAGAGTAATGTCCTTGTAAAAGCCTCATTTGGAAGCACCCTTAATGGAGAGGGGGGAGTGGAACTTGTGCCTAATTAAACTTCCTTTCTTTCTGGTTAACTTCAAGAGATTTGCTCTATGAATTTAAGGCCTGGAGCCATGTATAGACACCCTTCTCTTGACTTCAAGAGAAAACAAGTTCTTTAAAATTTGTCCCCATGGGTCTCTGGAGCTCTTGGAAGGGCCAACACAACTGTGATAGGAATTACAACTGGTGAGGGGGCGAGATTGGAATGTTATGGGCTACCAAACCACACCATCCCTAACTGATCTTGACAGCCCAGTACTTAGAAGGGGCAGGTGCAAGACTGAAGGTGAGAAATTTCCGCAGCACACCTGACCCTCAGGAGCTCCTACCCAGTGAGACCTGAGGACTATGCCTTTTCACCCTACGGAAGAGGAATTAAAGCTTTCTTCAGGGCATCCACTCAAGCAGAGAACTTGCTACATGTTCTAAGTGGCACAACCAGCTCGTGTGTTATACTGGAATGTGCAAGTGTACTTAGAAACACACCTAACATTCCCTTGTAGTTGCATATTGCTGAAAAGAAAAGAATAATAGTTGCAGTTAAGTTTTCAGGGATGCTTGACTGATGTTACCCCAATAAGCCTTTACATCTATCCATCTATCTGTGCATTCTTTGAAAGGTGATACGCATGCATGTTCAATTTGTCAAAGTGCTAGGAGAGAACCAATGCTATTCAGGGATCAAGAAACTGAAGAAAAACAAAATAGGGTCGTGTCTTTTGGTGGCCAACATGGCTTCTGTAATCACATTGGTGAAGAAAGAAACACGGTTAGCCAAGAGCTTTAAGGAAATCCATCTCAAGACCTGTCACTGATGTCTTAAGGGCTGCGACCTCAGAATCTTAGTGGATAGGATAATTTAGGGCTCCTTGGGAAAGCAGAAGGAGCTTTCTGCTTTAGTACTGAGGAAGGCCTCAGTACTCCAGAAGGAGCCTGAGGCCCCACAAAAACAATGGGCCAAATGCCATGTGTCTGGCGGGGCAAGTCTGCCAAAATGTGCTATTTTGTTCTCAATTTTTACCGCAACAGGAATGTGAAGCCACATGCAACGTGGGATGTGGGGGGAAAAAATACCTGTGCCTTTCCATCCAGGTTGGTTTTGTTTCAACACAAATGGGAGCATGCATTTCTTTAGGGTCAGTTTTCTTCCCTAAAGCTGTTTGCACCAGGAGTGGAGCTGGCAAAGATGCGACCAGGGCTGCACCAAATAGCCTCAGTCTGCTTCCAAAGTCACAGTGGCTGCTGAGCTCTGCTGTTTCTTGGCAGCTCGGGACCCCTTTAGTACAACGAACAAGTGCCCAAAAAGGAGGAAGACAGTTTCTCTACCTGTTCAGAAAATCAGATTGGCAAGACAGAGCCTGCCCATGGTGGCCATTTTCAACTCCTGTTAGTTTGTATTCCAGTGTCCAAAACAATGATGAAGTCTGAGGAAATGAAATGGCCGGCTCTTTTGCCATGTGCGATCGTGCGCAAGGGAAAAAATGCCACACTCATCCATAGGGCAGTTTAGCCCCCGACTTATTAAAATCCATGTGTTGTAATCCAAACTCTATTAATGAGAGTTTTGATTCTGGAAGACATACTAAGCACTGCTGAAATTAATTTTAAATTTGCCTAATGGGGTTACTCTGACTTTCATTACTAATTTATGCTATTCCTTTTAAGTTGTTCTGTAATAATTGATTATAAATGGGTATTAATATAGTCCTATAAAAACACCTGCAGCAGTTGTGTGCACCAGCTGGGAGAAAGATCTTTAAGGCACAGGTCTAAAGTTCCAAGAGGACAGGCTAATGCTGAAAGAAAATCGAATTGTATTTAGATTCGTACTTGAACGGCAAATGGCTCACGCAACAGAGCGGCTAAGTCTCTTCTTCTTCCCACCCCTATCTTTTACATTCCTCTCATCCCTTTTATGAATCTGGAAGGCATTCTCCTGGTAAAATACAGAAGACTAGCACCCAGTCATTCGATACATCCAATTACTTCATTATTCCTATGAATAAAAGAGGTCTCGTGCAGGCAGATAAGCCTGGTGCCAGAACAGGGTAAGTCTCAGCTAGCGGGACAAGCGCCAAAGTTTGCAGGACACTACAAACAACAGCAACAACACCTCTTCCAAAGACTCCAAAATCATGGGAGACTGAAAGCTACCCACAAACACTGCCCTGGCTGCTCACCACAGCACCTAGGCACGCATCCCTCAGCTTGTGGGCACTGGCAGAATGGAAACAGCCAGGCTGCGGTCATGTTTCACCCCTACCTTTTTCCAAGAAGCCTCTCCCACCTTCCTCCACAAGGCCATCGCAGGGTTGTCTGCACAGCCAGATCTCTCCATGCCTGGCGGCTTCCTTTCCCTCCCACAGCCTCAGTGAAGGAGGTAGAGAAGATGCAAGGTTGGTGAGCAGAAATGGGGCAGGGAGCTTGGGGGAGCTGGGTAAGAAGGCAGGATGATGCGAGTTCGGCTGAGAGGAGGGAGCTCCATGCCCAAGCTGACTCCCAGAGGGATCCTTCAGACCACAGCTGGGTAGCCTGCGGCCTCCCTTGTGCATTGGGCAGGAATTCCCTTCACCTCTGACCCCTGGATCTGGTGACCAAGGCTGAGGGGAGTTGACATCTGACATCTAGAAGACCACAAGATTCCTGCTTCTATTGCACACAAGGGTGCTTGCTCCTTCAGTCTGCAGGACTATGGGGTGGTGTCTTCCTGAGTCTTGACACCGGGGCCAAAGGAGAGCAGCAAGGGGGCTCGCCCACCCAGCTGGGGCTGGAAGGCTGGACGAGCTGCCTGGACTGGGCAGCTGCAGCAAGGGGGAGGCCGCTGTGCCAGGAGCTGGCTCCATAAAGCACAAGGGGTCGGGAAAGGTGGGGAGGCCAAAGGCCCTACCTTTGTTCTGCTGCTCTGCAACCTTCTTCCCGTGGCTCCACTCCAGTAGTGCTCCTAATAGTCATCGCAGTGCATGTCAAAGCCAGGCATCTTCCTGGTGAGTCAGCCACGGTGAGTTTTACTTTCTCCCTGACATAAGCAAATAGTGCTGTGCAAAATTGGGAAATAGGACTGTGGGCCACCCCATTGTTCAAAGCCAGCCATTTCATTTGGGCAGAGGTGATGTTCTGATGTGCCCCTTTAGACTGTGGGTGGGGGGTCAGTTTCCATAAAGTGGGAAGGAACAAAGAAGTACAGCCAGCTCCTCTCCCGGCTTCCTAAGAACACACCGGATGCCTCAGCTTGTGAGCTCCTCCTGCTTCGTGCACCTGTCTGCCATTGTTATTGGCTTTGTCTCACCTTGGGCACTTCACTCCCAGCGAAACTAAGAACATTTACAACCCCAACCCTGCTTCCCTAGGAGTCATTTCAGTAGGGCAGGAACTCCAGAAGCAGCCAAGTCTCATGCAGTCACTACACTGTGAGGAGAAGCCTGTTCTTTGATTCTTATTGATCTGTGGGCATGGACGGAATTGGCTGCCATTAACACAACTACCCCATGTGCCCCTGATGGGTGGGGAAAGGAGGCAGGGATGGTGCACGCCGGATGTATTAAACCTTAACCGCAGAGCAGCCCAAATTCTTCAGCCAAACAGAGCTCAGTTCTGCAACCTGCATGCATTACAAACTGGATCCTTGCTTAAGCCATGCTTAGCACAGATCTATTAAAATCAATGGGACAAGTTAATCGTGCCTGATTTTAAAAATACAACTTCAGTGGATCTGCTCTAATTATGACTAAGTCTAGATTCAACCCTGTACACATTAGGCAAGTTTCCCCATTCTCCCTAAATGCTCGCAACTCTGGTATATTGATTTGCCTCTCATTTGTGCACAGTTTCATCAAAGGGATGGAGAAGAAGCCAGGAAGGGCACCAAACTATCTTGCCCGGCTCGCCTGAAAATCTTACTCAGTAACTATTCTGGTTGCTGACACTGCTCTGTGTATCACCTTCGCTCTCCCCCAGGTATACATTTGCAAGGGGAAGAGCGAGAAGCTTCTTTTTTTAACAAAGAATGCAAGAGAACACAGAAAACCTCAGGCAGCTCAGCTCCATGCTGGACACCACGGACGCCGATTCCGTATTGCTTGCATGGAATTACAACATAGAAATGCAGAGTCCCAACGGCGGGTAACACCATCCTGCCTGCTTGTGGGATTCCCAAAGAGATACCCATTTGGCCACATAGTCCCTCACCTCGAAAACTTTCCTGACAGTCTAGAACCAAAACATGGGATTGAAGACTCCACCAGGCTTGCCTTTGGGGCCAATGGAGGCTTGGGAAGGGCTTCTGGCTGCGATTTCCCATACGGGCAGCTTTCCTCTCCCTTCTTGGGTGATGCAAGGGCTGTGGCGAAGGGCTTAGGCATGGGTGGCCAAGCAGCGCCCATGGGCTGGAGTACCTCCTCCAAGCTTTAAGCCCGGGCTGCTGGTATCAAACTTTCTGCATGATGCCCAAGGCACAGGAGAAGTGGAGGCACTTCCTACACAGCCCAGGTTGTGTGCATCATTTGCCCACTCAGGCGGCTGCTTCGGTTAGAACCATCCTTTCTTCCCCCTAAATGAATATGGGCCACAGTTTCTCAGGAAACCCTCCTTCAGATCCCTTCAGTGCACTGGAGCTGCCTTGAAAAGTAGTTCAAGCAGGGCAACTGGTCCAGAACAGGGCTGCCATGTTTTTAACTGGGACTGGGAAGCCTGACCGCTTCGTACCTGTGCTTTATCACCTGTGCTAGTTCCTGGTCTGCTTCCAGGCCCAGTTTAAAGTGCTAGTTGTAGCCTTTAAAGCTCCAAAGACTTGAGCCTAGGTCACCTGAAGAACCACCTGCTCCCACAGGTAATTACCTGATCTTAAGGTCTTCAGAGGCCCTGCTCTGAATTTCCCTGCCAAGTGGGGTGATGTGGGTGACTTCCACAGACACAAGACTTTCTCAGCAGCTACAGCATCCATGTTATGAAGCAGCCTTCCCACAAAATTTCCCCTGGTGCCATATTTCTAGTCTGAGGGCAAAGACCTTTTCAACCCACCAGACTTTTCAATTGACTCTCAGTTTAAAAGCCACATTTTAATTGTGTTTTACTTTTAACAGGTAAACTGCTTTAGCTGCTTTATATAATGTTTTAATGCTGCATTTTGTTTCTAAGCCTCCTTCAGAATGTGGGTTACAGGGTGGCTGTATAACCCTGAGCGACATCCAGCCCAGCAGGACAAGATGGAAAACAGAGCATTTTTCTCTGGGCCTCCAGAATTCCAGAATTAGAATTTCCTTTTAGCTCACCTAGTGAAACCAACATGCTCCCAGAGTGACAAAAGCCTTCCACAATGCAATAGTGACATCTCACATTTGCAAGCGAAAGGGCAGGCTAGATAGCTGGGGACATTTCATATGGAGCTGGAATGAGTTTAGGAGAATCACCCTAGGAGATTATTACCTCGGATTTACATTCAAAGGGCGTTTAACCTTCAGAAGTTTATAATGAAGGTCAGTGTGGTTAAGAGTGCTTCACTGGGACTTGAGAGATGTGCGTTCCCTGGTTTTCTTTGGGCCAGCCTCAGCCTCTCAGCCCAACCTCCCCCACAGAGTTGTTGTTGTGAGGATAAGACTGAGAAGAGGAGGAGAATTATGTAAGCCACCTTGAGTTCCTTGGAAGGGGAAAAAGGGGGGATATTAATAAATAAATGCCTTGGCCAGCTCAAAAACAGTAGCATATACCTATATTCTCCCTCTCAGGTAGCAGACCAGAGAAATGAAGAGGGAGAAATGGGTTAGGGGTTATCTCTATTTCAAGAGCTATCTGAATAACTTCTGATATTTTTGGCATAGTCCTGAAGTAACACGGCCTGCCTGAAAACACCTTCCAGGGGAACTACGAGAGCAGCGGGGCTCTTCGCAGCCCAGCTTCCCAGATTTGCACAGGGCTGCTGCCTCCTCTTGGCTAAGTGGGAGAAACCCTGTCAAAGAGAAACCTGGCCCCAGAGACACGTGACGACCCACAGAGTAGCAGCAGTCCTCCATTCAGCCACTTCCTCCTCCTGCACTCTCACACCTGCACTCACCTGCAGCAGTACAACATTTATAAAGTGCATCAGAAGTTCAAGGTGTCAGCCCATTGTGCAGAACTGTGTAATTCTCTCTCTCTCGCTCGCTCGCTCTCTTTCACTCATCTGACCATGCAGCGGGGCATTTTACTATTGCAAGCCGCCAGCTCAGATGGTTTTGGAGACATCGTGCTTGCTGATGAGCACTTCCAGCAGCCGGAGCTTGGCTTTGATGTGCTTGTACTCGGAGTACTCTTCTGCCATGGGGACTCGGTCTTCCCTTTGCGGGCTCCTGAAGAACGACAAACGGGACACTGAACTTACGTGGCTGGGGAGAAAGGATTCACAAATGACTTGGAGCCACTGCAAAGGTGGCTTCCTACTCCAAAGTATATCAGCCAGGATGGCCAACCTTTTTGGACCTGAGGGCCACATGCAGTGCCAGGCTAGGAGGCTGCATGTTCAGATGCATTCGTAACATACAAATTCTGTCTCTGTCTCTCTGTCTGTCTCTCTCTCTCTCTCTCTTGATGGGGAGCATTAAACCTCCCCTCCTTGCCCTGCTGAACTGGGATGGTTGGAGGAAGGGAGTTAAAACCATCCAATGCTCTCCTGATTGCTGCTTTCCCATCAGTGTTAGCAGCAGAGAGACGACACCTTTGCCAATCTCCCTGACTGGGATTCCTGTTTCCCAATGCTGGCAGGAGAGGAGCAGCAACCATGGGTGTGCTGGGATCAAGGGAGGAATTAAAAGCACTTTCTGCTGCTCTATCCAGACAAGATCACTATCCCAGCAGGGAAATGGATAAGACTCCCCAGCCTAGATGCTAGTGAGCACTACCAAACACAAACAGTTAAAAACACAAGCTGGGTTTGTGTGTCGGCCTGTCTGTGATGATCTAGCCTCTGGAGAGGGAAGACACTGCCCTGGCCCATCTTTAGTCAGATGGGAACTCACAGCTGAAGACCAAGGGTCTGATCTGTACTAGAGGTCTCCTAGTCTGTGGCCTTTTCAGCAGAGGAAAGCTGTCCTCATCTACATGCCATTACAGAGATGCCAGTGGGCTGGAAGAGACAAATGAATGGCTTGACGTTGCCCGGGAGCCCGAAATACATCCACATGCAAATGGATACCCATGCTTTTTCTGCAGGCATCTCTGCTCTCAGCTTGCCCCCTTCCAGTCACAGACACAGAGGTGGACACGCTGGAGGCAGGGGATTCCTCGGAAAGGTACCTCCCGACCTTCCACACTTCAGCAGCAGCCCTTTCTGAGGGGATAGGCATGGTGTCCCTCCAGTTTTGCCTCAGGAGGTGGGGAGTGCATTGTCCCTGCTGCGAAAGAGCTGAAAAATGCAGGCGAGTCATGGCTTGGGCGCCCCAGCCTCAGTATCTTCCACTTGCTTTGGGGGACCAGTGATGGCGTAGGACACTCTTCCCCAACTTGTGCCTTCCAGAAGCTTTTGGACTGCAACACCCACAATCCCCAGCCAATGGCCCTGATGGAAGGGAATTGTGGGAGTTGTGGTCCAAATGCCTTTGAAGGCAACCAGGTTGGGGAAGACGGGCGTAGGGTGTGGGTTTGCACCGCTGCAGCAGGAGGACTAAGACAAGACATACACGTGACGGTCTTACCTTCCCGTTTGTTTAAAGAACTGCTCCTCAAATTCTCGTAACACTTTCCTTAGCCTTTTCTTGTCAGCTCTCGTTTCTCGGAGATGTTCCAGCAGCACAGGCCTGAAAAGGGAGATGCACAATCTGGACACTGTATGGTCTGAAAATGTTTAATGCAAGTGGCAGTCCAGTGGAGAGCTCTGGGGTGTAGGGTACGCATGCAACTTCAAAGGGCATTACCTCTTACGGCCTGGTAAGGTACACAGGTACAGAATAATGCTGCTTCTGAGGCTGAGCACAGCCCACAGCCAGGACTAGCAGCCATCAACAGCTGCCTCCCGGTATAAGATCTCCAACAATGCCCAGAATGACCGGCACTATTACAGCATCTTTTATTATTTCGATTTGCACACGGCAAATAGGAAAAGTTCTCTTACACTAGCTGTGCAGACTGGTGCAGGTAACAGGTGGCTCAGGATGATTTCAAACAGAATGATCAGCAGAGAGAATGGAAAGAACAACTGATCTGCGTGTTCTGTTCCTCGAGGCCTACGTTTGGCCCCAAATCCATCTTTTACAGTTTGCATTGCACTGCATTGAGCACAGGCATGCTATTCCTCCGCATTTCAACAAGCAGAAGTCAGCACTCACATTGTGGCCTCGTGCAAGTTGGACATGGACAAGGCGGGCTGCTTCATCGCTTTCTTTTCGTCCAGTGGGGAGACAAAGGCAGGCTCATTCTCCTCATCCGAATGGCATAGATCTTCGTCGGCCGGCAAATTGAGAGACATAGCAGAGGATAATTCATAGCTGCTCTGAGAGTGATCTTCATCAGAATCTTCCTCTTCCTGCTTGTAACACGGATGGAGGGGTATCACATTAACTCCCTGTGCATGCATCTTTGAAAAATTAATGGTGAACAGAACATCACCGAACCCTGGATTAAGCACAGCCCCGACACTCAAGTCTTTCTTTTGGATTCTTTAGCAGCATTCACACATGACAGAGACAGAGAAATCCAAATATGCTTCTTATTGTCACAGGAGAAAGCACCCACCTCCCTAAGCCAGCAGAGACTGGCTTTAGTGGAAGTTCTTCCATGCAAATGGCCACTGAATATTGTTCTCTCTTCAGGGAATATTCCCTTCCCCTCCTCTAAACATCTGAGTTACTGAATGGTTGTCACCAGCATAAGCTTCTTGAGGGCAGGCTCCCACACAGTGGATGCTCTTGCTCCCAAGCAAACCTAATAGACCAGCCGTACATGAATTGACTTGGGAGCGAGTCCTGCTGAGTCCAGTGCAATTTATTTCCTAGGAAGGACACTTGCAATTGCTGTCTCCTACACATCAGCAGATGTGCCCAGAAAATAAAGCACAGCCTTGAACAGGGGCTGCAGAGCAGGCCAACTAGGCACGGTGCAAGAAATACCGTCATGTGCTGTACTCTGGCAAAGGACACCCTCCTCAAAGTGACATTGCTCCACAAGACCTTATAGCCCTTAAAGTCTGGGTGGGGAGGGGGGTAGAGGTGGGTGATAATGGGTAACTTCTTGGAAGAGGTCCTGGGGACCCAAACCTCCATGGAAAGCTCTGTTGTCTCAAGCCAAATAATAGGGATGCTCAAGGGTGCGGAAGGGGAAGGCCAATGCTACCTATTAGGATTGTTATAAAAACAAAGACAAAACTCTAGTATCACAGATTATCCACGCAAGTCAACCTCACATATCAATCAGGGTTCCCAAACACATTCACACTGGTGCTTAAAGATGCACGTATACGCACAACTAATTCTGTAGCTGTGGAAAAGCACGGGTGTTTTCTGCAATAGCCTTAACATGTAATGTTGCTTTCATTTGGACTGTCTGAGGAAAACAGCTGCTGTTCCTAAATACCTTTCTAAGTTATTGGCCTGCACTTCCATTCAAAGTTTAGAATATGCTTTGCAAAACGTGACAGTATTGGAAGACTAGATGAAGCATGAACAAACACTTGAAGCTTTCCAAATTCTTCGGAATACTGGTGTGCATTTCTTCTTGGGACCAATTTCCCTTTGGGAATGGGACCTAAAAGAGGGCAAAAGTAGCCAAAGTGTTTCTACAATCTCTTTTTGACTTACAATGGTTGTAATCAACGAAGGTGTTGACAAGAGATCCTTGATAATTCGGTATCGTTCATAAAGAGGCTTCATCAGATTCCGATCCTGCTTGATCACCTGAAAAGCAATTCCATTTAAAGCAAAATTCAAGCACAATTGGGAAAAAACAACCCTACCTCTGCTTTGGCAGAGCAAAGCCAAAGAAAAGGAGTGCCCTTGTCTTCATGTCTATGTTGCTTTAAATTCTTACAGAAGAAACAGTAGCATGGACCCTTAGATTTCCTTTTATGTTTCATGTTGCCATTTTTCCTCTAAGAATTTAAAAGCCATTGGCAAAGTCCTAGTCGACTTTTTATAATCATTTTGCATCGTTTTGGGATAGATGTTGCAAGGTGATGGAGACTTGAAACCTGCCAGGCCTACCCAAGCGCACCACCAGCAAACCTTATGGTTATACCTCACTTTCTTTGCAAACCTTTGCCTCAATTCCTGGGGCAACAGTGGTGGGGCTGAGTTACCCCAGTGGTGAGTCAGCCAACAAAAATACTGCCAACCCCGGGATCCACTAGATTTTCCTCCGACACTTGAGTCTGACAGCATTGATTTACTCTTCAAGGTATTGGAGAAAAAAGACTCCAGGCATTGATACAGTAGCATGAATGGAACTGCCCACCAAGATGAGTGAAATATTTACTCCATTTCTGAGTGGTTCAACAGATTTAGCTGATGCCATAGCCTCAAGGTTGCTTGCGTAACTGTCACAGAGAGCCTAATGACAAATGTATCGTCTCTGAGGACCAGCCGTGCAACGAACGAGCATTGTGAACAGTTGCTCTTGGTACATTTAGCTTTAACAACAGTCCATCCTAAAAGGACTAAAGAGTTCAAGGGTACAGGTAACAAGAGGTATGTGAGGAATTCACTTTCCCTGGAAAAATGTGCAGATTGGAATTTATTTATCCATCAGGTTTTGCACTTCTCTACATGATCCACTGATGCTGGTAACGATTGACAGCAAAAGAAGGGGACGGCAGAGGATGAGGTGGCTGGATGGAGTCATTGGGGCAGTGGGTGTGGGCTTGGGTGGACTCTGAGGGATGGTGGAGGACAGGAGAGCCTGGAGGGATGTTGTCCATGGGGTCGTGATGAGTCGGGCACGACTTTGTGACTAAACAACATGTTCCATTGTAGTTCTTGGATCCAAAATGTATCAAAATACATTACTTGAAAGGGAATGTTTCAAAATGTTTAGAAATTCTCTAAAATTACTTTTAGAGAAAATATATTGAAAACCAAGTCTTTAGATGTGTATTTACATGTGAGTTTTTGGTGCAGAAAATTGCAGAAGCTGGAGAAAACAGATTAGGAAGTAAAAAAGTAACATGGATTGGGAAAAGATGGATTTGCCCCTCCCCACTGGTCACATAGTCCATTTTCATGACACATAAAATCTATTCATTTGGGGCGGCCACTGCACAAATCCAGAGCTCACCTCTAGTCACAGACTGAATGGGACGTCCTCAGCCTGCAGCCCTCCACATATTTTGAAATATATGGCCATGCTGGCTGAGGCTAATGGGAGCTGAGGTTGAGAACATTTGGAGGGTGCAAAGTTGGGAAGAATGGACTGAGCAATGGTTGTGCTGCAGGGTAAATGGAAAGCCGTGAGCCAGTGAACACGGAGACTGGAGAGGGGAAGAAGAGGAAAAACCAAGCAGAAATGGAGGAGGAGCAGCAGCAGCAGCAGCAGCAGCAGCGCTTCCTTGTAGAACAGATTTATACTGAACCGGTTCAGCTAAACCATCCTGGCTGACAGCAGCTGTCCAACATTTCCAGCACGGATCTTTCCCAACCCGCCTAACAGAAGCTCTCCGATTCAGCTTTTCCCAACCCAGGGCCCTCCGTATGTTCTGAACTGCACAGCCAGTGGCCATGCTGGCTGGGAATGATGGAAACTGTAGCCCAGGGTGCTGGGTTAGAGGTGGTTCCCTCAGTGGCAGATGACAGGGACTTTCTGCATGCAAAGACATTAGTGGGGACGGCTTCAGCTGACTAGGGCAGAAAGGGGCTGCTGGTGAAAACCTCTGGAGGGTCAGAAACCGTCCACCCCTGTGTGAACTGAGGCTCTGCCTGTTTCATCTCTGCTTCCATGTACAGAGCATGTGTTTAAAAAGCTAACAACAACAACAACAACTTGAGGAAAATCAGTATACTTTTTTAAGGTGCGTGCCCTGAGTTGAACATGCACATGACTGTTACAAAACAGTGATGAAGTACTTGCCACGAAATAATTCACCCAGTATTTATATCCACACAGAACTGATATAGTTCCATCCCAGTTCAACTAAACTTAGTTGTGGTCAAGTCTTATTGAAAGCAAGGGAACTTCAGTCACTTGGTCCGGGTTTACTCCAGTGGCTCACAACTAGCTTGAGCTGAACCGTCTTGGCTATGTTATAAAGTGCCTGCAGCTTCTATGAATCATGCACAAAGTTTTGAAGACCCCTTAGAAAGTGGCTAGTTCAAAGCGATACTTCGGCCATGCCAGCTGCAGCCCGTGGGAGTTGTCATACAGCACCTCTGGAGGGCTCTAGGCTGCGGAGGGCTGTGGCAAAACATGAAGTCCTGACAGACAGGCAGAAGCGTCTTTAATCAAACGGACTAATCATGTTAATTTGCATAATATATGCATGGATGGACTGCGCAACTTGTGCGGCTTTACTCTTCCGCTGTGACTGACTGCAGGCCAGGCCAGGCTCTCTGCAGGGGCCCTGATTTGCAAATGCTGCACTTCTACCAACTGGCTTTGGATTGCATCTACACTGATGGCTTAAATGCTTAAGAGCTTCACTGCAGCCTCCAGCGGGCTCTTGCCACATTTAAATCAGCCCTTGTCATCATCAGGAGATCTGGCCCCCACTCAGTCCTGAAGGCCCCTGGGTGTCCTCAGCCAAACCTACCTCACAGGGTCATTTTTCTGAGGATACCATAGAGAAGAGGAGGACCTTGTAAACAGCCATGGGTTCCTTGTAGGAGGAAAAAAGGTGGGATATAAATGCAAAGATGGTGGTGGTGATGGCAAAGCTGCTACTGCCTTTTGGTTGTTCAATGTGTGACAAAAAGGCCCAAACTTGGTTGATCAAGCAAGCAAGGCTGCTGCGTGAGAACCACATACCTTGATGTTCTCCGGTACAGTGAGCTGCTGCCGCTTTTCTTCCAGTCTCTGCTTCATGGCATCCGTGGTCTCTCCTGCAGATGGGCCCAAGGAAGCGAGCGCGGCATCCTGCTTGGCAGTCTCTTTGGCATTCTCCTGATGAAGGTTCCTTTGCGGTTCTTTGAGGGGGAAGCTTTGTTCCTCCGACATTTTAAGCTTCAACTCTACAAGGGCATTTCAACGGGGCATGACACACCATGACATACAACAAGTTCCTTCAGGCATTGCAAAGTACAAAGATACCGCTGCCAAACTGGACTGCTCACATACAGACCTGAAACTGTGTGTGATATGGGGTGGCAGAGGGTTTTCTGACATTTTCCTTCATTCCAAACAGGCCTGGATTCCAGTCTGTGGACAGAGCCATAGGCAACGCAGGCCTGGCCCAGTACAGCGCCATCATGGCCAAAATTCTTTTCCTAATGATTTTAAGCCCCCCGAGAAGCAAGCAAGGCTGAAATCAGCCAGCATCACTTTCAAGTAACATCCCAAATACCAAGCCCCTGTGGGTCTACTCAGGAGGAAGCACACGCATCATGGCTGCTCACAAGTGAGTGAGGCCAAGCCTCTGAATGTCTACATAGGAGTGCGTGGGAGAAAATGCGCTTCCCTCTCTCTTTGGCACAGGAAAACTTCAGTTGCTGCAACTGATCTGAAATAAGCATTTTCTCTTTTTGGGCAAAAGGGGAAGGAACTTGCAGACTGGATGGGGACCAAAGAGCCAGGTGTTCCCCACAACCGTTCTAAGGGCAGCTGCCTTCTCTTCTTCTCCTTCCCTTATTCAAATCAAAAAACATTTTGCTTTTGTCTAAGAGGAAGAACTTAAAGAAACCCTCTGTTGCCTCATGTCACACAGATGACCCGCTGCCCACCCAACTGTCTCAAAATTGTCTCTCCCTCTTGCAAAAACAACCACAATGGTAGCACACACGTGGGTGGAGATTTTCCGCCCAGTGTCAGATCCAGCCCTGGCCTTCTGCTGTATGTCGGACTCTGTATATTCATTGTGCAGGGGGGAGATGGAAAACAGAGCTGGGACCACATGCAGAAGGGCCTGAATGCACGGAGGATGTGAATCCTTGGCCAGCTTCTCCTTCAGCAGCTGCAGTTCTGAGAAGGGGACTACAAACACCTGCTTGGCTTACGAACTGAGGGACCACCCATCCGTGCTACCAATGCCATGCCAGCGCTCTGGCAAGTGCAAAGCTGCAGAAAGGGGCCAAGGTGCCCTCATCTGTGCATCCTTTTCCCTGCTCTTTCCTCTGGCCAAACTGCCACACCAATGCTCTGCCCACCTTCTCCTCTCTGTCCCCACTGGCAAGCACTCAGGACCTGCCCAAAGCCTTTTCCTGCCTGCACAGAGGTGCAGGTAAGTCAAGAAACACGGGAAGTGCCTGCGATTTCTTTTCTCCTTCAAACTGCAGCGCAAACAGAAAAATCCCAGGTCTCTTCCAAACCCTGGTGGGAAAGGTGGGGAGGAACAATATTTCCCCATTTGACGGAAACTGGGCAGTGGAAGGAACTCGCAGGCATCCAGCTTGCTGGTTCTGCCCCACTCCAAAGATTCCTGCAGGGAGAAAAGGATCACGTCTCCTTGCAGAGTTTGAGGGTGGACCAGGGTTTTGCCCGACTACAGAAAAGCTTGGAGAGGGACAGGAATAGCAGGAGAAAAGTCAGCTGTTGTTTCCAATTGCCAATGTCTTTTGTAAGTTAGCCAAACAGCTGCCAGGCTTCGTGTGCACTCACCCGGACATGGGGACAAGGAGATCTGTTGATATCTCCCCATATAGATTTGCAAGAAGGCAGCTACTGATCAAGAGCTCCTTCAGGGGCAAACACTCACTTATGAACCCCCAAACTCCTGGGACAGAAAGCAGGGCTTAAAGTATTCCCATTCTATCATTCTAGCGGAGTTACGTTCAGGCCTAGGTTTGCCCAATGTGAAACATCCTTGAAAGACAACTGGACAACCTCTACCCATCCTCCTGTGCTGGGTACAAGCCATTGAGAAACCCAACGCAAGCACACAGCATCCCGCGTCAGCAGGGAGGGTGCGCCCTGGATCGGTTCAAGGACTGCCCGGATGTATGAGTAAGCAAGGGGACCCCAGCACGCAAGTCAAGGTGGAAAAGGCTGGGCATCCTTGCTCTCCGCAGTACACCATGCCCCACCGGCCTGCCATTATCTTGAGTGACATTCCTCTGGCGTCACTCCCCAGTTCCCAGTGAGAGCTACTGGGGAAAGAGGTCAGTGCAGCAGTTTCTAATGGCTTTTCCCAGAGGGGTTCGCCTCATGCAGCGTCCTGCACTGGTGCAATTTCAGCACTAAGCAAATACTATGTTTCTCTTCCTCAGGGCTCTTAATACAATCGCATGCATTTTATCTTGGTTGTACTGGCCGTTTTAGGCTGTTTTTAGTGCTAGTCAACGTATTTTCTCTATGTCCTTTCATCCATCCATCCATCTTATTATGGTCTGAAATGTTGTAAGTTCCCCTGGGAGTTTTATTGAAAGTGGAGTATAACTCTCTTTTTTTAATGTGAGAGACACCAACCAAATTTAGGGTTTGCCCTAGGAATGTTATTGAACCGATAAATATACATCCCTAAAATAAAAATAGCAGGGGTTTTACATTATTATTTTTTTTACGTTTTAGCTTCTACATTTAGTGCATGAACTAAGTTGGTGGAAGGGTGTTGTTTCTTTACAGCACGTCCAAGCTGGAAATGCACAATCATATAAAATCAGGTTGGTCCATTTCAACAGCCAAGCTGGGCTTTGCTCTTTGAAAGCATAGTTAGGTATCAACTGGAATCAATGCAGAAAACTGCCGCATCACAATCTCCAGCAAAGCCCTGCTTAACTGTAGCGCCACGCACAGACAGTCGCAACTTTAGCAACCCTGGCCAAGAGCAGAGAGCACCCTTATTGATTCGGCAGGGCAGGACACATGGCGGACGTATGCAGAGAATCCCCACCATGCTGAAAAAATCTGGTGCTGAGTATATTTAAGACAACACTGCATGTTTTCTATTTATTTCTAAAGCATCTGTTGTGCTACCAAACCTCATGATAATAGCGTTGCTCAGGCCAAAAATGGATTTTTATTTTTAAGCAAAAGGGTGTGTTCCTTTTGCTTGCATCTGGCCTATAAGACTGGTAGCACAAAACAGAACCAGTGAGCCAACCAAAAATACTATTACTCCAGTGGAATAAACAACCATGATCCCTGCCTTTCCAACAGAGTTTCTGGCTGTAAAGCAGGGGCCAAGGAGAGAATACTTAATTGCTATGACAAGATGCAGAAAATGCGAACACGAACAATACAATTTGCAAGAATGCTGTCAAGCAATGCGTAATCAATTAATTAATATGGACTACAGCATGCTACTCAAACTTGGTTTTAAGAAATTGCCTTTATTGAGTTCACAAATGCAGATCTTTCCCTTCAAATTAGCAGTTGCTGAGCTACACCTCCACTCTTCCAGTGGTAACCAGACATGAGACTAAAAGCATTTTTTTCTGCACTCCAGTCACCAACATGTTCTGCTGCTGCAAAGAGTTTGGAGACCACCTGGCCACCATTAATTCTCAGCCTGCTCTGTGTGCTGAGTTCTATAATAGTGCAACTATTATGTCAGTGATGGGTAGACAAGACATGATGTCAAAAGATCCCTAACTTTATTTATTAAATTTCTATCTCACCTTAATTCCTCCAAGGAACCTAAAGCTGTTGGTTTGTTCGTTTTGCTTAAAGCTTTTATATACCCTCCACTACAAGCATCTCGGGATGGTTTTACAATAAAGCAACACAAAATAAAATAAACCACAGCATCCAACTTGCAGTAAATAAAACCTGCCTTAAAACCAATTAAAGATTAGAATAATGGGAAAATGAAAAGATTTTCACCTGGCACTGAAAGAATAACGCGTCGGCACCAGGCGAACCTCTCTGGGAAGTGTATTCCATAATCGGGGAACCACTGCAGAGAAGGCCCTTCGCTGAGTAACCACTCTCTTAATCTCCTTCAAGGAGGGCTCCTGAAGACGGATCATCACCTCTGATCTTAAGGGGTGGGAAGGCACATAGGGAAGGAGGCGCTTCTTCTGGTACCCAGGGCCTAAGCTGTTTAAAAAATCCCCTTCCTCTTCTGCTTATCCTCACAACAACCCGATGGGGTGGGTCTGGCTGAGAGTTCGTGACTGACCCGAAGTCACCCCAAGAGCTTCATGGCCAAGCGGGAGCTAGAAGCTGGATCTCCCAAGTCCCAATCCAGCGCTCTAACCACTGCGCTGCACTGGCTCTCGATTTGTTTCTTTGTTCCTCTCTATTTCTCTCCTATGCCAAATTCAAAGGCAACTGAAGGGCCCCCCTCAAATCAGTCTGTTCTGCTCCATGGAGGAACGAGCAGCTTTGGGGAGGCAATTCAGATCAGGAAATCTGGGGAGGCAATTCGGATCGAGCCCTTCTCCTGCCACCTTGATCGCATCTGTGTGCCCGATGCACTGACACCAGTCGACTAAAATTGACTCCACGCACTCCGTTCCCATGCAGGGCCCTGCCGGGCCCTTTAATGTCATTTTAGTGCATGTCAGCTTTGCATATGCCTTAATAGGAATACAAAAGTGGTAAGGCTATGGTCAGATGACTGTCTTTTTTATCCTTGGCAATAAAATGTGCAAAACCTCACTCTGCTTATCTTGCGGCCCAGACTGCCCTGTTATTGGAACAGAAGTACAACCAATTCACAGTCTCCTGCTGGCTACAGTTGCGATGATGATGGAAACGTGAGAAGCCCGCACCCAAGTGAAGAATCTGATGCTCGTGACACACGGAATGGGGAAATAATAACAAGTCTTTAAAGTCAGTTTGGCAACACAGGATAAAGCCTAACCTTCTACTCTTAGTGCATGAAAGGTATCCACATAATGAAGCTATTAACTCTGCATTAACTCCATTAGAGGAGCACCATATGGCACCGAGGGAGACCGCAATCACTACTATTTAAAATTACAGGGGATGGGGTAGAAAGCAGCAAGCCGAGTTCCACGCAGCCGCCATCAATTTCAGGGAGGTCTGCACGGGAACAGCTCTTGGTGGACTGCCCTCTTAAGCACATATCTACACCATAGGTTTGTGCTTGTTTCCCTTGACCAAAGGGACAAGGGAACAAAGCCAAGGGGTGAGTGGGGGAAGGAGCAGGGATTGCTACAATTCCCCAGATTTTGGAACTTGCAAGAAGAAAGCTGCCTGCTTGAAATGTCTTCCAGCAGAGACAGCATGGAGCCCGACCTTCTTTCCTTCCCACACTAGCACAGAAGAGTCAGAGTGCTGCCCCGAACACTGTTTCCTCAGTTCGGCATCACATCTAATGCCACACACAAGTGAAAGAGAAATGCCCTAGGATACAATGAGTGCATCCAAGGGCAGCGCATACCTTTAAGCTGCTTCCGACTTTTGGCCAAATCGTTCATCCATTTCATTACCTCAGGATTTGACACTTTGTCCGCGTGGGAAGGCTGGACAGGAAAAAACAAGAAAAACAGGAAGGCTACGTGGTGCCTCTTCTCATTACTCACACAGTGGTCACGAACAGTGAGTCAACCTGGCCAGATTGACTGCCCAAATACCAATTAACCTCTGGTATTATTAATCCAATTATAAGATGCAATAATTTTCCAGATGACCGGTCACCCCGGTCAGAATGAGCGTAGGCAGAACCATCCTGCCTCTCCCTCTCCTCCTCCCACCATTTCTCTCCCTCACTCCCTTCCTCTTCCTCACCATCCCTCATGTGTGATAGCATTGCTTAGCTAGTGGCTCCCATGTAGCCTGAGGTTGCCAGTGGCCCTCAGCACTGCCATTTCTCCCCACAACACAAAAGCTGAATAATGTGTGGGTCCTTCAGAACAAGAAAGGGAACGCACTGAAAGAAGACCTGTGCCATCTGCCCCCCAGCAGGGAAAATGCAGCCTCTTCCAACTCTCCCCTCATGTTTACTGAGAGCCTCCATCTCCTCTCCCCATATGCAAGGGAAGACCCCACATGTCCTCAGACTGCCTTTTGCTTGCCTTCTCGTTTCCTTACCCGATAATTCTTTTCTTGCTCGAACTTTTCCTCGTATTTCCTGATCTTCCTCTTGAGACTTTGCAAGTGCTTCGTAAGTTGTGTGATGGTCTGAGGCTCTTTGGAGACATTGCAGCTCCCTCTGGAAGAACTTCTTGGCCTGCAAGGTTAGACAGGATGAAAATGGGATGGCGCAAATTTATCTACCACTTTCCAGTGAAATTACCAAGGTGGTGGTGGGGCGGGGGGTGATGTAGTTGCAGCACAGCCATGAAGAACAATACAGTGCAACACTGATAAGCCATGCAAGAGCCCAAATGTCCTTAAGGGCTTAATGCTACAGCTGCACTGGACTGTTGGAACAATGCAGTGGCAAAGGAAAATAAAGGAGAGGGCAAAGGAAAAAGGAAGGGCAAAGGAAAATAAAGGAGAGGAACAAGGGGAGGGAAGCCAAGGTGGGAAAACCTGAAGTGGGGAGGCAACACCCTGGCCTGCTTCTTTAAATATTGATGCAATCTGGGTGGATCACCTGCTCATGGGCACACTCGAGCTGTTTGAGACAAAGTTATAGGGGTTGGTTAAGAAGCTGGCATCCAAGCTGGGCAGCAGCTCTGTGTAAGATACAGGCATCTGCCTGGAACCACCATGCTGCCATGCTTTCCAAGCATGCCATTATTAGCTGCACAGGGAATGGGGTCAGGAACTCTGCTTGAGGACTGGAATAGAAGGCAGATGGGATCCAAACAATGCAGAACCGTCACATAAAGCACCAAAGGGCTGTCTCCAGGTGATCGAACATTGGCCCTCACTTGACTACAGTGATGGGGTTGTCCCAGAAGGGTGAGCTGGACAGACAGGCCAGAATTCAGTGCAGGACTCCTCCATGACACTTAGAAGCACCTTATGATTCCCAAGAATGCATTTTACAGGGCCTGCTCGGGTGTGTTACACTGCTGTTCTTGGATTAGACCAGGCGGAGGAACGGTGTGAAAAACATCAGCAACTTTGCCAACAGTTTGATTGCACGTTGTCTTAGGACGATCCAGTTCCGCCTCTTAAATCCTAAGGCAAGCTCTTTCATACTGCATACCTCCTGCAAACTCTCCGGTAGATCACAGGTAACAAGAAGCGCAAAATCCTAACTCCTCAGTTCCTTCAAGAATCACTGCCCGAGCCTCGCATTACTGAAGCCTGTACTCAGCATGCTCTTCGTTGGGTTGCAGGCCTCCATTCTGGGAGGACCTCTCCTCCACTGACTTAAACAAATGACCTAGCTGACTTATTTTAAGGGGTTCTCTGAGGATTGCAAACAGGTAAGGCACGTGGTGCACTCTGAACCCTTGGAAGCACTACAGGAATGCTTCCTTGTTGTTGCTGAAAGCCAAGATGGCATGTGAGCGCTTGTTGAAAATTAAAGCAGAACAAAATTGCCCAACAATCCGTTCCCAGGAACACAGGGAGGTGCAAGTCAGACTCTTGTTCCATCTAGGTCAGCAGCTTTCTGGGGCTCCAGGCAAGGATTTTTCCAGTCTTGTCCAGGGATGCCAGGCGTTAAACCTGGGACTTTCTGCATGTAAGGCAAGCTCCCTTCATCGGCCATTTGAAACATGTCTCTGTGTTACTTGTGCCATCCATGGGTGCGCCCGTGTGTGGAGATGCCACGGCTGCTTCATGAGCAAACCCAAATGCAAATTTAGGCAGGCTAAACCATCATTTTCTCTCCCCAGAGAACTGTAGCTCACAGAAAGCAGGTGAGGTTTCGAACAGAATGTTCTGCACCGTGCTGAGAAGTACAACTGGAGTGAGCAGAATTCTTTGATAGCAGCCTCTACTTCCCCTATTCTGATAATGTTGGAAGCTGGGCCGGTACCGTTTGGGTCCAATCACATTAACCACCACCTTCTCATGCCAACATGCATTATATATGCTATGCAGCAATCAATCTTCTGCAAGCAACAGGAGAGAACATTTATGTGATACAGCAAGCTGCAGGACAGACGAGAAACACTGAGGAAGACGCATTAATGGCAATGCAGAGGAGTCTCTGGAAAATAAACGGTGTATTAGCTTACATCATGAACAGTTGTGCACTTGGTGGGGAAGGAGCCGATTCAGGGTCTAAATTAAATCTCTGGCTTTGGCTAAAAATAGAGCAGCGAGGCGAAAGCAGGGGATTGTCTCCATCAGTAATGTGATACAGCAGCCTGCTGGTCCCTAAGGAATGATGGCCTTCCTGTCCATTCTCTGCATCAGTGTAGCCCTCCTTGCAGGTCTGCACAGGCTCTGCAATGACAAGACGAAGGCAACGGGCGTTTAAAAGGACAAGCTCATTCACGGCACACATTAAAGCGGACTTGGAGGTTCATCAGAGCTCCCTGGAGAAAAGCGCTACTTCAGAGCATGGAGTAGCTGTGTTGAGAAAAATCCGTGTGACCAGAGGAAACAAGACAGACTTAGGAGCATTTATCCTAAGCATCCTTACCTGAAGGATGTCCTATTCACCTTGGTGGAACCCAAGTAAAGCTGCTTAGGAAAAAGACGTATGATACACACAGCAGAAGAATGAAAAATGCACTGCCATTGTCTACGATTTAAATTAAAAAGGCAAATGAAACCCAAGTGGAATACTGGCCTCTACTTTTTTTTTCCTGGAGGTGGGTTTTAATTTTCCAAAACAATATCATTTTTGCAGAATTAGGATTCTAAGTTAGAGCTGTGAATTAGGAACGAGTCCTCTAGTTGATTAAAATTTGGACTATGTGTGCATTCTATGATCATGTCCATTTTTCTAAGTATTACATTTAGTGCTCTGGAATTCCTTGAAATAGGTTACTGTAAGCTAAATAGCAATTGCTCCCATTTCACTGGGGAGGAGTCAGTACTAAGGGCAGAATTCAGCATCTCAACAAATCTCAGTGTTCTGGGAGGAAAGGAACTCAAGTTTCTAGCCCCTGAGAGTATGTCGTTAAGTATTTTATTTAAATTTATTTCTTTCAGATGCTGAAAATTCCTCATATAGTTTAAGGCAATGAGGGACAACAGAGACACTATCACAAATGCTCCAATGTTACTTTAACACGATCTGTACAGTTTCTGATACTGTGAGGGTGGGTAGCAGGAAAGGTTTTTGCGACATCATCCCATACATGCCTACTTGGGAGTAAGTTCCACTAAATGATTTCCAGTGAGTTCAGTAGCACTTATGCCTAAAGCCTTTACTGCTGCAACACGGGGGCTATTTCTGCACCATCAAAACTCCTTTGATGCTGAGAATAGGAGGTAAATTTCTGTCACTTGTCTGAATTGATTGGGGATGCTTTACCATGCAGAATGCATGCGCCTACACACACTGAATCACCAGAATGCTAGACCGGAACCACCAGATAAGTTATTGATGAAATTTTAGTAAAATTCCAGGCAGAACTGAACAAATCTCTCTCTCCTTGCTTCTTAGAATGCCAATCTAGTGCATTTTTCAAAAATTTTGGGAAGTTGCATTGTGAGGTGGCATGAAAAAGGTGCTTATGTTGGGAGGGTTGAGCAACTGCATACAGGGGCTCTGTGCTGTGAGCTGTCAGTGTACATGGGAAGGCACATGCACCAGAAACCCTGAATTAGACAGCACACCCCTTTTTACGATGAGGTGTTTGTGCAAAATGCCAGAACAAACAAGACATGCAAAGGTGTATGAAAAGTAACCCTTTTCGGCCACTTATCAGCTAAGTGCCGTGCTTTGGAGCAGGGCTGAAGGTGCGTGTGTGGGGGGGAGGGGGTTTCCAGGATACATCATATCTTGATGGCACCTGTCTCCTCCACCCTTCTCCTACATGCCCCCCAAAATCTCTTCTCCAAGGTTGCTCTTACTGTCTTGGAGAAGGTTCTTTCCACGCCAACTATGAGAAGAGGAGGTGGACCGAAGTGCAGATGCACGCCTCTGAACGTAGAGCTATTTTCTGACTTTGGAGCAGGGAATCCAAATATCCTTTGGCCCTCTGGATGCTGCCTGGGGGCCATAGGATTACTCTGCTGTAAGCCAAAACGAGTGTATACACCAAAATTATATTTATGAAACAGTCAGACCTACTACTAAATCTGCTTAACAGAGTAGTGGGGCACGAAGAAACTAACAATGCTAAACACAGACAGGCATCACAACAAATAAATTCAAGCTAGTTTTCTTCTCTGGCTTCTGAATTTGTGCTGATTGACAGTGATCGACAATGTCTATAATTTATAAACATTGATCAATCATCTCTGGCACAGGTCAGGCAAGAAGGGTTTTATCCATTAAATTTAAGTTGGACCAAGTTGCTTTCTTTCAAATAAATACTGTCTATTATTTATATTCTATCTGGGCTTTGGATACCAAGCAAAGATATTAACATGAGCATGCATTCTCCTGGAAAACTATTCTTATGTGTGCATGAAATGAACACTGTAAAGACACTTTCTAACCTGTAAACAGTGCATCCAAATATAGAAAATAAATACGGAAGTGATACTGAAGTCATAGAGAATAGAACACTAAAATATCCAAAGATCCAGATCCAGAGATTAGTTCGAGGCATCTGTCAGTGGGCCCTTCCTGAGACTGTGTCCTCGGGGATGCCCAGTCACGCCGACACATATTACTCACCAAAACGCAAAGGCCTTCTTATACATATTCTTGGTGTTGACTGCCTCCATGAATTGAAATGGAAGGCCACTGCACTGTTCCTGCTTTCAGTGGCTACTGTTCTGCTCTGAGAACCTCTGATGTGGACCTAAGCATCTTCTGGCAGAAGGTTAGAGTGGTACCTCTAATGGTTCCAGCCATACAAGCACCTTTTCTGCTTGTTTCCTTTTCACCAGACCCCAGGTTGATTCCTCAATAGTTTAACAAATCAGAGCATTTCACACTTTCCTTTTTGCAAACAGTCCAACCTTGAACTGCAGGATAAAGAGGGATACTGACTGAAACAACTTGTTTCTTTTCCTTGCCTTCACAGAGGCACATATAATTATATTTCTATCCATTAAAAGCAATGGAGTCTTTGCAGCAATCACTTTCAATGTGAAATGCATTTTTAAAAGGCAGGACTACCAAATTAATCCGAGATTCTTAGAAAGAGAGAGAAAACCAGATTAGCCTTTGCAAAATGATGAAAAAGAACAAGCTTTGGAAATAAGCCATTCTGCAACAGTCATTTTATTTATCTATAAACATTATCATGGGATTAGCCAGTGGAATACTGACCCATTTGCCTTAATACAGAGCATAGATCATCTACAAATGTTAAGCTTGCCTGCAACTCATCGGCTTGCTATATTCGTCTTATTAACTATGACGCATTTTACATAAACAGTGATTTGCCGTCTGCCTGAACCCAGGAATCCAGCTCATGCCATCTGTGTTATTAAAAGCTCTGGAATGACAGAAAGTCTTAAATCCATTTATTTCCAACAATTGATTTCTAGAGAGCATGGAAAGAGGGTGATGCAAAAATAACAAATCTAATGAACCAGATCTTCATTATTACATGTCTTTTTAAAGGCTTTCACTTTCTCTGCTGAGCTAATCCATCTGTAATCAATACAGGCATAGGGGAAATGAAGCCAGCCTGGGAAAAGTGCAGGAGCAGCAGGGCGGAAGAGAAATGGAGAGACAGAAGCCGGCAAATACCACACACAAGCTCAACAATAAAAAGTCACTGGAAGTAAGATGGCTGAAAACTTACAAGGAATATAAACTCACAGAAAATGAAGGAATGTGCCCTTTTAAAGAAACTGTTCATCAGTGTTCCCCATATTTATGTGAATCCAATGCAAAAAATGATGTGTGCATTTTCCTTACTCTCCTTAAAGTTAACTTCTTCACAGCCTACACTCCCCAATGTTTGCCTCAGCTCCACTTTCAGGTAGGACAGCCAATCCTTCAGGTCATTCCTAAGCCACTGAGTTAGTTGCTTTCACAACGAGAAAGAAAGGCATGGCATGAACTAAGTCCCTCTTACCTCCACAATTTTCTCCATGGCCTTGCACACTCGGTGGGACGGATGAAGTGGCTGGATCCTTTGAAGAGGGCAGCTGAGGAGTTTCTTCCTGGTTTGGCAAAAATGTAGAGCAGAGGTCAGTTTCGAGAACTTGCAGCTTCAGCAAAAAGTTCTGTGGGCAAAGACAGAACTTCAGGCTAGACAGAGAGCAAGAAGAATAAAATCTTCCATCTCTCAAGACCTTCTGCAGTGACTGCAGAAAAGGATTTCTTGTTCGCAGCTCAGGATCAATGCATTAACTGCTCCAACACACTGTACTCCTTTTGCATCATCTCTTCTTCCTTTTATTTAATTCATCCGGATTATTTATGATGCAAGGGAAGTATAATTTCATGAGCAAAACATTTGTTCTAGAAAGCCCGTATCTCTAGGTAAGACACTCCACGATGGTGTTACTGAGTCATCGGGCTGATAGCTGGACCTGATGCTGCGAGACCCCTCCCAGTATGTCAATCATAATAAAGAGAATAAAATCACTCTTTACGGCATACCATGCAATATCTTGCAAAACACCAATGGTTAACTGCTCAGCCCACATTCGTGGCTCCTATTTGTGAGACTCCCCCTTTTTGTTGGCTTTGTTAAGGAGATCTTTCATTCTGGGAGCTCATGAAAGCTCTGCCAGGGCATCCTTTCCATTTTCTACCAAACGCCAGGGCAAAATTAACAGATCTTTGTCAGTCACTACAAACAAATCAATGAGGACAAGGCCGTTTATCTCTTAGCAGCTCCCTCAGCCACGCTTTCAGGTTTCATCTGTTTCTCCCCGCGGCCTTGCATTTGGAAAGCAGAATTGCAGCCACAGCACCTGACACGAGCGCCTCGCTGTGATGCAAGCGTCCTGCAGCCTTGATCATTCCTTGCCAGCCTGCGAGGTGGGGCGTGCCCGTGCACCGGGTCTCACACGTTCCAGTTTCCGTTCCCCTTAAAAGGGGACAAAATGCAAAGCAGCTGCATGTAGTGCGTGTGACATTCTCTGGCAAAAATGAGGGCACCCTTTTGGAGAAGCCTGGACAAGAGCTGGCATGAATCACTGAGTCCCCCTCTTATAACCACTTCAAATGTGCTCAAATTGGGTTTTGCTTGTGCTGTTCAAATGAGCTAGCAGAAGAGGCAGGAATTAGGGGTTCTCTTTAGCTCCTCATGCCAACCTTACGTTCTCGGAACTAAACTACAGCTCCTCTCTGCACATGATCCAAACCCTTTGCCTCCTTCAGCACTGGCAAAACATGCCTTGAATTTGAACCCAGAACCACTCAAACACAGACCGAAAACCTCCACACGAAACCCCACTCAAAGATTCCCAGACTTCTGAGTTCTTTTTCTGAATGAAAGTTGAAGACCAGCTTATTACTCTCCACTTAAAAACACTTTCAATGTTTTATTTGTTTGTTTATTAGTTTTATCCCGCCCAACAGCCAAAGCTCTCTTGAAAGTGCACAACAATGTATAGCAATTAAAAACATATAGTATAAAACACAGTATAGAATTTTAAATGCACAGGATAGCACCCTTAATTGACTATGTTTTCCTCTTTCTTTCCAGAATCGCCATACTGCCTTTTATCAAATAAATCCCAGGGCAGTGTACAACACTGAAATTAAAAATCACAAAAATTAACGACTTAGAAACGAAATAAAGCAACACATTAAAATCAATCGAGAGGGCAACTCTACAAGCAGCATGCCTAAATTGACTGGGCAAACTAAAATGTTTTTGCCTGGCAAATAAGGGATAACATGGTGCCCTACTTGAGAGCTCCATATACGAGCCATGACCAAAACTGTCCTTTTTCAGAATTGTCCTTTCCGCCCACCTTCCTGATGAAGAGGAAGGAAGCCAAAGTAGTTCATTGCAAACTCCTGTCACATCTAGACCCTACGGGGTTGAAGTGCTGATAAATATTCTCTCTTCAAAAAGAACTTTGCAACTGTTTTGCTTAGCCCAGGTGGATGGAACCAAGGTTATTTTTTCAGGTATAGAAGGAAAGGTTAGAGTTCCCCAATCCAGTAATATTTAGATATACACCGAATGTTGTATGAGCAGCTATGAACCCAAGCAGTGTAAAGACTACTGGATATTTCTAATTATGAGGCAATAAGGTTGTTACTTGGTACAATATATGTCGTTTTCCCATTGATGAAGACTATCAAGGTCAAAATGTGTCTCGAAAAGGGGCGCCGCACACATACGCAGCCTTGGATTCGAAACTAGTTTTAGCAGTGCATATATGTGCCATTACAGGGTTGTTTATGCAATATTTTAATTGCAAAATTGGAGTATTATTGTGTTTGTAGCATTTTAGTACATTTATTCCAACCTTATGTGCAAAATATTTAACTATATACGTTTTGGAATCTAGTATAGAATTCTCTTGCATGTGAGGTATGTTCCCGAAGTAAAATTCTCAGGTAAAATTCTGCACCAACTGCAAATGGCAAAGGCAGTGGCATACATGGCCTAAACAAGAAGTGACCAGAGCTTGGTTCCTGAGGAACCAACCCTGGCTGGTCTACACAATACTCTAAAGCAGCCTTCCCCGACCTAGTCTCCTCCATATGCCCTGGACTACAACTTCCATCAGTCCTAGTCAGTCCAGCCAATGGCGAGGGATTATAAAACATCTGAGGGCTACCAGATTAAAGGAAGCTGCTCTCAAGACCAGGCTGGCCTTCCCCCAACCAAATGGCCTTTGGATGTGTAGGACTAGGAGTCCCATCATCCCATCACTACCATGCTGGGAAGGAAGGGGTGATGAAAGTCATAATCTAGCACATGTGAAGGACACAAGTTTGGAGAAGGCTGGGCTCGGCCAAGGCGTTTCTGGTTCCTCACAGGAAAAGGATTCCCGCCCGTCCTTCCCTCTTCCATCCACCCACCAGTTACTGCCACCATGACTGCCACTAGCTGCCCTTCATTTGGGGTCTCTCTTTTGCAGTGCTACGTGATGAACTGCATCCGCAGCACAGAGAATGCTCCACAGAGGGTGACACCGCAATCATGACAAAGTTGAGGAAATGTGTGCTGAGGAAACAGTTGCGAATGGGGAAATGTATTATCCAATGCATTTTAATACACTTTTCTTCAAGGGCAATCACAGTATATCTTTCTATGGCACAAGAATACCTATGTTATATTTCCATTCCCAGATGTGCCCACCCTAACAATTTAACAAGTCATATTAACTAACATTCTCTGGAAACCTCTTTCTTGCCATTGCTCAGAATTTATCAAAACACACCGGGCAGCTGACTACATCACACAGCTCATGCCTAACTCCCATATAATTCAACAAAGTTTGTGGAGGAGACCCTAAAAAGATGGTGACCCATGAGTTTGTCTTTCATTCCACCTTCCAAAAATCGCACTTCAAACCATCTTCCCTCATGATAGGACCTCTTCCAAACATTTCCCCTCATCGTTTACTCATGGGTACCCCCAAACTGGCTGTGAAGTAGTAGAGAGCCATCTGTGGCGTAGTGGTGGGAGACCTAAATTGGGATTCAGGAGATCGAGCTTCAAGTCCCCGCTCAAGCCATGAAATTCACTGGATGACTTTGGGCCAGTCATGGACTCTCAACCTAACCCAACTTAAGGGTAGTTGTGAGGATCAAAATGAAGCTGTCTGCAGGGGATTCTGAGCTGTGAGAACCCAGTGCCTCGTCGCAGGCACTGGACGACTCATGGTCACCCTACTCTGAAATGCAGCCAATGCTCTCCTGCAGTTTTGTGTTGCAGAAGATCAGTAACATTGGACATGATAAAGCTCCTCCGTGCTGCTACGAATCTGCTCACGAGGTGCTCCCGATACATATCTGAGGAACTGCAGGGCTTCCCATGTGTAAACCACTGCTCTAATTAGTATCAAAATAATGAGCAGGGATACAGCTGAAGCACCGCCTTCTCAGGTTGTCAAGACAGAAGCAATTAAGTCCCCCATCAGAAGGAAATACATATGGTCATTTAAAATCATTCCACTCATAGTTTTGCTCCATAAATAACCACTAACTCTCATTGTGAATTATGGTACAAAGTTAGTCAAGCAGACTAGCTTGTTCAAAATCGGGAGGAATTTGGTGGTGTGTGATGATGTACATCCTTCGAAAGAAATTCATCATGTTTACATAGGCTTGTTCCCATCTGGCAAAGGTGGGAGGATGGAAGATTTTCAGCAACGGTTGACAAGCTTTGAAACAAAAATAACAACAAAGGTATTTATAGGCTTTTTTAAAGGGTGACTGATAATGTCACACCCTAAGAAAGAATCTTAAAGAGTACAGAGCCAATAAGATGGAAATTTCTTGATAGATATCCATTACTAATAGCCATTGGTAAATTTATTGGAACAAATGCAAAGTGATCCTTACAGCCCTGTGCAACTTGGCTTGGAAGAAAGGAACACAGTATTCAGTGGAATCTATTCCCAATGCATATTGTCTGGCTGAAGATTAAAAAGGCAGGGCTGCAGCTGAAAGTTGGCAACCCCATTCACTGGGAGGAATGCAAAGAGTGACCAGGGCCACCAGTAACCATGGGAGAGCCAGGGGGGCACAGTGGTTAGGAGTGCTGTACTGGGGATCTGGGATCCAGCTTCTAGTGCCCACTCAGCTGTGGACCTCATGGGGTGCCTTTGCGCCAGTCACAGACTTTCAGCCTATCCTACTTCACAGGGTTATTGTTGTGCAGATAAAATGGAGGGAAAGCAGAGTCTTGTAAGCCAGCTCAGGTTTCTTGCAAGAGGAAGAAAGATGAGGTATGAATGCCATGCAATAATTATGAAGGAGAAAGGAAGAAAACACTGCTAGAGCTTCTCCTGGGATTAGTGGAAATTCCCTTGCCCTGTGGGCAAATTGTGGGAGCCGTCTAAGCTACTGACCTGCTTGGAAATATAAATTACCTTGAGACATTACTTAAAAGTGGAAAGCAGCACGGAAATCTTTTAAATAAACAAATAAGCTATTCTGGTTCTCTTTCTCAGTTTGCTTATTGCAATGGCTTAGAGCTGAAATAGTAGCATTACAGTTCGCAATATTTGTAAACAGAATTATG